TGCATAGAAAAACCCTGTCTTAACAAAACCAAATGATGATAATAATGATGAATATTTCTTAGGGGCTGGAGTAATGACTTATTGGTTAAGAACAGATATTCAACAAGAAAACCTGAGTTCCAGTCCCAGGACTCATGTCACACAATCACCTGTAACTCCAACTTTAGGATCTATTTCCCTCTTTTGGCCTCCACTGGCACCGGCATTTATGTTTATAAATATATACATGTGTAATTATCTAATTAAGAATAAATCTTTTTTTGTTTGTTTGTTTTTGTTTTTCGAGACAGGGTTTCTCTGTGTATCCCTGGCTGTCCTGGAACTCACTCTGTAGATCAGGCTGGCCTTGAACTCAGAATAAATCTTTAAAAATCCAACTATGAGCTGAGTCAATAAGCTCCAGGTTCAATGAAAGAGCCTGTCTCAAAAAATACAGTAGATGGGGACTGGGTAGAAGGCTGAGAGGGTAAAATGTGTGTATAAGCATGAAAACCTGAATTCAGATTCCCAGACCCTATTAAAAAAAAAATAGGTGTTTTGGTGTGCATCTCTCATCCCAGTTTGAGTGGGTAGGGGGGAAAACAGGTCCTCAGGACCAGCTGACCATCCAGCAAAAGTGATGAGGTCTAGATTCAGTGAAAGGTCCTGCCTCAAAACATACAGTGGAGGACTGAGCATAGTGACCCACCTTTAATTCCAGCACCCAAGAAGCAGAGGCAGGGGGAATCTCTGAGTTCAAGGCCAGCTGGTCTTCACAACTAGTTCTAAGGCTACCAAGATTATATAGAGAGACCTGTCTCACAAACAAACAAACAAACAAACAAAAAATGGTGGATAGTAGAGGAAGACATGCATTGTCTGTCTCTGAGCACCAGATGTGCCATGAGAGAGTGAACCCATATACACTTGCACACGCATGCGCCACACAAAATACCCAAAATGAGGTAGAGAGTAATTAATGCTGACTTCTGGTATACACACACCTCTAAACATGTATATACACCACACACAACAGAAAAGTATGTATAGAACTGACATAGTGAAAGAAGAGAACTGACTCCCACAAGTTGTCTGCTGACCTCCATACATGGCACAGCAGGTGTGTATATAAGACATAAACAAATCATCAAAAACTTAAAAATTATATTCAGAGTGGCTGAACCAGTGAAATGGCTCAGTGAGTAAAGGGGTTTACAACCAAGACTGACAACCTGAATTTGATATCTGGAACTCGAATAGTAAAAGAAGAGAACTGACTGACTGTTCTCTGATCTCCACATACATGCTACAGCATGTGTTTTATGCCATGTATGTACATACTCATGCACACACACAGACACACATAGTAAATAAGTACATGTTACAGAACTGTCATATCTAATTGGAAGATAATCCAATTAAAACTTACAAGATGAGAAAAGGCAGTTCAATAGGACACACATGTGACAATGACATGAAAAGATAGCAACCATTACTAGTCAGGGGAATGCTGAGAACATAAGATACCACTAGGTGCCTGCCCACCAGTACATTGCCAGATATTGGTGAAGATGCAATACCTTTGAGCTCTTCTGCTCCACTGGTGGGAAAGTAAAGAGATAGTATTGAAAGTTTGAAAGGTTAAACATGCCTCTCTGATCCAACACCAATCCCTTAGTATTTACCTATGAGAAGTAGGAATACAGGTTCACATAGTGTGTGCTCAAGGCCCTGCGATTTCCAAAATAGTGGAATCAGCTCAAGAACTGTTAGCAGATGATAGGTAAAGGAAATGGGGTCTAGCCTCATAACAATCACAGTAATGAACAGAACACATATAACAAAGTACACCTAAAGATCCTTAGTGTTGAATGAGAGGAACATTTATATTATATGTTCTATTTATTTGAAATTATAGGCTGCTTTGCAGTGACAAGGTCAACTTGGTTGCCTGCAGCTGTAGGTTGAGGAAGGGGGCCTCATAGAAGGCTCCAATACTGATAGCTTTTTTGCTGCAGTGGTGGCCTCATAATGCACATTTTTTTCAGAACCCTCCGACTTGTCTATTTTAAGTAGATGTTGGTTATTGTGTGGAAATTATGCTTTAGTACAGTTGACATGTAACAAATGGCAGTGTTGATTAAAATGCTGGACTTTTTTACTTGACCTAAGCTTAGGGATGCTTTTCTCAGAGAGAGTAGGAGAGTCTATTTAACATCTGGGAGTTTTCCTCAAAGGGAAGAGAAATACTGTCTATGGGTGAGCATATCTTAAATTCACAGAAAAATTAAAATTTGATTACATCCTACAGTTGAGGGGCAGCCAAACTATGATATAAATATGTTTCTAAGAAGACTTCATACCTTAGAAAGAAGAGTTAAATCAAGGACAGAAAGTATTTGAAACTCAGTATGCATTCCTGAAACAAATTAAAAAAGCATGTACTAATGAGTGCCAGAAAGGCTCTGGATAAGGCTTCACAGATAATTCCTGCAGGCCTGGGGACCACCTCCTGCCCCTTGCAGTATGGTCATTGCCTTGACAGTCCTGGCTTAAATCCAGTATAAAGTGAATTACAATACAAATTCTTACTTCTTCTGCTGATAGGACTAGACCTATATCATCCTGAACCCCTAAGGATCATGTGGACCCACATAATCCCTCAAGTGGGGCTTTCCACTGCCCTAGGCCAGAGAGTGTAATTCCTCATTTCTAGCCTCAAACTGAAACTTCTCTGCATTTTCTTAGAATTCATCTATCTAGGAAGCTCAGACTACTATTGTTCCAGACCTGGAGATGCCCAGCTTGCCTACTATTTCAATGCTTCAGTGGTCTCTGCTAAGTAAAAAGTCTTCATAGAGGTAACTATTTATTTATTTATTTATTATTATTTCATAATAATAATGATATCTCATGGTATCTCAGGTTGGTCTTGAATTTACTATTTAGCTATACTACCAAGTGTTTGGATTACAGGTGTATACTACCACACCAACTTATGTGATAATGGAAATAAAACTCAGGACTTTGTTTACACTGCACAAGCACTTTACCAACTGAGCTACATCTTTAGTCTCTTAAGAGGTAACTTTATTTGTTTGTTTAAAGTTTTATTTTCCTTTAATGTGACTGAATGTTTTCCTACATGCATGTCTATGTACCATAGACATGCAGTGCCCTCAGAGACCTCACCCCCTGGAATTGAAATTACAGACAGTTGCTATGTGGATGATAGGAACTGAACCCAGGTCCTTTGGAAACATAGCCAGTGTTCTTAACCACTCAGTCATTTCTCCAGTCCTGGTTTTGTTTTTTTGAGAAATCCACTATGTAGTTCTGGCTAGCCTGAAACTCACTAGGTAGACCAAACCGTACCAAGTTAACTTTTTGTTGTTATTGTTTATTTGTTTGTTTTTCTTTCTTTTTTGTTTTTGTTTGTTTGTTTTGTTTTGTTTTGTTTTTCAAGTCAGAGTTTCTCTGTGTAGTCCTGGCTGTCCTGGGACTCACTCTGTAGACCAGGCTGGCCTCGAACTCAGAAATCCGCCTGTCTCTCTGCCTTCCAAGTGCTGGGATTAAAGGCGTGTGCCACCACTGCCCGGCAAGTTTTTTGTCTTTTTTTTTTTTTTTTTTGGTTTTTCGAGACAGGGTTTCTCTGTGTAGCCCTGGCTGTCCTGGAACTCACTCTGTAGACCAGGCTGGCCTCGAACTCAGAAATCCACCTGCCTCTGCCTCCCAAGTGCTGGGATTAAAGGCGTGCGCCACCACCGCCCGGCAAGTTTTTTGTCTTTTAAGAGATAACTTTATAGCAAAAAAGTTTTCTTAAATCTTATTTTGGACTGACTGATTTATAAGTACCATCTTATGAGTTAACATAAGTTTGTTGTGAAAGGGATTTCAGGGAGAGACAGACTGGAGATATGGCTTAGTGGTTAAGAGCGCTTGTTTTTGCAAAGGACCCAGGTTAGGTTTTTAGCAACCAAATGCTAGCTCATAATTGTCTATGACTTCATTTCCAGGAATCTGATGCCCTCTTCTAGCTCTGCAGGCGCTAAGCACACATGTGATGCATATACATACATACAGTTAAAACATTCATATACATAAAATAAAGTGATTTTTGAAAAAAATTAAAAGGGATGTGGATGTACCTCAGTTGCTTATCTAGTATGCACAAAGCCTTGGATTCAATCCCCAGCCCTCATAAATCGAGCTTGATATTGCACATCTGTAATCACAACACTCAGTGTTAGAAGCAGGAGATAAGAGAGATGAAAAGAGATGGCTCAGCAGTTAAAAGCACTGGCTGCTCTTCTAGAGGACCTGTGTTCCATTCCCAGCACCCACAGGGTAACTTGCAACTATCTGTAATTCTAGTTTCAGTAGATATGATGTCTTTTCTGGCCTCTGCAGGTGCCAGGCCTGGTCATGGTACACAGACATATATGCAGACAAACACCATATATGTAAAAATGTTTTAAAAGTTAAAAAAAAAAAAAAGCAGTATTGTTTGAGATTGAGTTCAAAGTCAGCCAAGGATATATGAAACCCTTATCTCAAAAACAGGAAAAATTGCCGGGCAGTGGTGGCACACGCCTTTAATCCCAGCACTTGGGAGGCAGAGGCAGGTGGATTTCTGAATTCGAGGCCAGCCTGGTCTACAGAGTGAGTTCCAGGACAGCCAAGGCTATACAGAGAAACCCTGTCTCCAAAAACAAAAACAAAAAAAAAAAAACAGGAAAAATTATTAAGACTGTACACATGATAATACCTCAAGGCTTTGAGGTAGGTGCATGTTTTCCTCTATTATACTAACAGTGAGACATATAAGGCAGCAGTTTGCAGGCACCAAGTATTCTAAGGTAGAAGTCTTCTTGCAATATTTGTGCTCTTTTTTGGTCTCCAGATCCTTCCTCTGTGACTACACTTTTTGTTTGTTTTTGTTTGTGGTTTTTCAAGACATGGTTTCTCTGTGTAGCCCTAGCTCTCCTGAAACTCACTCTGTAGACCAGGGTGGCCTGGAACTCAGAGATTCATCTGCCTCTGTCTTCTGAGTGCTTGGATTAAAGGAGTGTGCCACCATGCCTGGCTTGTGCCTGTACATTTTTAAGCTTGGGTGTTACTCTGGACCATGGTTTTACATCTTCTTGTTTCCCCAAGTTCATAAAGGCAGAATACTGTATCACTAAGAATTCCCAATGAATCCATGTCACCCCAAACCCCTAGCTAGCTACCCAGAAGGAAGCCAAATTGTGTCAGTAGTACTTAACATGTGATTAGGAGCTCAATAGGACAAGTGTGTGTCTACATCCTGGGAAATGAGAGGTACAGTGGTTTTGCTTTCAGAAACCTGAGAACATGGTATTTTTAGAAGGAACACCAGGTCATCCCTCTCAATCAAGGTCTTGCCCACCTGCCTTGATTCCTGAGTTTTGAGTCTTAAAACTGCAATGGTCAGGCCTATGAGCTCCCCAGAGTCCTGTCTATGTTAACAACTGGTCCCCAAGTGGTGAGGATCTGGTACCTGTGGCTCTCATCCTGGAGGGACAGGTAAGGGTACTTTGACTACATATTACTTCCCTTTCCATTAAAGTCTTACCCTCTCTGCCTTGGTTCTGTCCTCCCAGTTATGTCCCTCTCAGCTCCATCCACCCTTACTAGTACCTCCTCCTTACACACTGTTCTGCCTTGCAGATCTCCCTGTCAGCTCCCTAGCATGGCACTGCAGTGTCTCATGCTCCTGACTGGCCTTCTGATGGGTGGCATGAGCAAGTCCACAGAAAGCAAGGTAGGTAATCTTGTACCCAGTGGCAAGTTGAAGCTTCCTCATAGGCAATGGATCTTTACCCCATAAAAATTTCAGTCTTTGAACTTAGAGTTCACTGATACTAGCCTAACCCTGGTAGAATCCCCTTGGAGTCTACTGCTAGGATTTGAAATCTACCTATCAGCTGTTTTGTTCTGTTTTCTAGAAGTTTCTTTACAGACCTACTTATTGCTATAACTGACTTACAGTCTCTGCAGAATCACCATCAGAACTGCCTGCTCAGGTGTTGCTTACTCAGGAGAGTTCATGACTGGTAGGCACACATGGTCAGGCATCTTAGCTCCCACCAGAAGTGTTGAACAAAGCCAGTGACAGTCCAGTGGGGTGAGAGCTTTGGTATCTTTAATGGGGTGCCATTATTCTGCTTCCCAAGCCAGGCAGGATGGGGACCTCGCTGCGGGTGATGGTATGAGGAATCCCTTACTGACTTGGCCAAGGATAATGAAAGGGATGGCTTTCATCTTTCCCATGCTGTGTCCCTGTTACTCTTTCTGTTAACCAAGCTCAGGTCACAAAAACAGAACTGCCAGGCATGGTCATACAAACCTGTAGTCCTATCCCACAGGAGTCTGAGACAGTAGGATTGGCCTACATAATGAATTCTTGCCTTCCTTCCTTCCTTCCTTCCTTCCTTCCTTCCTTCCTTCCTTCCTTTTTTGGCATAAAGTTTCTCTGTCCTGAAACTTGTTCTGTAAACCAGGCTAGCCTCAAACTCAAAGATCTGAAGTACTGTGATTTAAAAGGCATGCCACCACCTGACTGGAACCCTGTCTTAAAAACAAAAGTTAACAGGGTTAACAGGATGCCTCATACGTCAGGGCACATGCTGCCAAACCTGATGAGTTTGGTCCCTGGAACCTACAGTTAAAGGATTCCCAAAAGTTGTCCTCTGATCTCCATGTACATGCCCTTACTCATTCATATATATAATCATAATAATAAATGAAACATCTGAGTATCATGGTATATGCCTTTAATCCTAGCAATCAGTAGGCAGAGGCAGGTAGATCTCTATGATTTTGAGGCCACCCTGGCCTACACAGTGAGTTCCAGACCAGCCAAAGCTATATAATGAAAGAAATCCTGTCTCAAAGTAAAACAATAATAAGTAAAATTTAGAAATTAAAAAATAGAGAAAAGGCAAACAATGTAAGTTTTATATTTCTTGAAGGTTTCTATAAAAAAATAGGGTCACCTGTATGTTTATGTTGGGGTTTGAGTAAAAGAGATGTTTCTAAGAAAGTGTGATTGGACAGAGGGTATGATCTGGTCATTAACTAGGGTCCTAACCAGGCTGCTGTTCAGATTCTTGTCCTTCTGGCTTCAGAGACCAGGGATTGTCCTATCAATACAGGGAAGGCACCACTCTATGAGGGCCTTAGCCTGTCCTTGCTGGTAAAGGGCAGGAGATAGTCAAAGACTTCATTCTGAGCTCTCTCCAATGTCTAAATATTCTATTTTAGGGTGATTTGTTCTGTGCCACACTATGCCAAGCTGTTCCAAGTCCCAGGCCCTAGGCCAGTTTATATAAATCCATTAGTTTGTACCCTTGCAGGCCTTTGGGAGACTGGGTAGCTGTTGTTGGATACACTGGTCAGATTCTAGCCTTATACTTTGTGACTCATTCGGTCATCAAATATTCACTGATCATAGGCTTTGCAGTCTAGACCTGGAGCCAGTATGAGAAAGACCTGTTGGATAGTGACTCATATGACGTGACAGGAATGTAGTCCAGATGCATGTAGGTAGATAGGTGGGTACCCCAACCTGTTTGTACTAGTAACTCCCAGGTTTTATCTCTATGTCTAGGGCTGGAGTTTTCCCCTGTGCTCTTCCAACATAGGCTGCAGAAGGAATGGAGTAGGAATATTCACTTATTGAAGGGATGTCACTTGATCTTAGACAGTTTGAGGGTTGTGGGTGATGAGACAGGTAAGGCCCTGTTAAGATCAATGCTGTCCTTGAGATGAGCTAGGGACTTACCAACCTGTCTCACTGATGTCTTTTGTCTAGGCCCAGCAACCTGAGTGTTGTATGGATGTGGTAGACTTCAATGCTACCTGCTTAGGTACAGGTCTCTGTGGCCCAGGTAAGCATCATTGTTGCATGTATATAGCAGACAATCCACACCACCAGCATTCCTGGATGTTTTTTACTTCTCAGTGACAAGACAGCTGGAGGGGTGGGGGGGTGGGGTAGCATAGGCTGTGGCATTATGCAAAGAAGGCCTATCTGCCTGGGCACTCTTCTTGAGCACCTAGCCATACCTTTTGTCTAGTCCATGCAAGAACCCTGAGGGGAACTGTTGTTTTGTAAAGGGCTAAGGCACAGGGAGGAGAAAGTTCAGAAGGAGGAGGAGGAAGAAGAAGTAGCACAGGGTTCAGAGGAGACTAAGCCAGGACAGTGCTTCCAGGAACTCAGAAGGTTTTGGAGGTATCTTTTTTTAAGATTTATTTTTATTTTATGCATAAGTGTTTACCTGTGTGTGTGTATATATATGTAAGTACATAAGTACATATGTATTACACCACATGCATGCCTGCTACCTTCAATGGTCAGAAGAAGGTATAAGATCCTCTAGAACTAGAGTTATAGATGACTATGCAACTCCACGTGGATGCTGGGAACCAAACCTGGGTTTTCTTTAGGAATAGCAAGTACACTTAACTGCCTAGCCATCTCTCCAGCACCTCATGGGGTATTTTGACCCTGGAATATCCAGCAATGTTTGAAGACATTTTTGGTCTTCATAGCTGGTGCTAAACAAGTTCAGGATGATGCTTCTAGCATCTGGAGGTGGAGGCCAGAGTGCTGTTCACTACCCTCAGTGCACAGGATGACTCCACTACAGAGGAGAGTCCAGCCTCAGTGTCAGCATGCCAAAGGTGAAGTTCAGAGCTGGTGAGAGAAAGCAAATAGGGGCATCCAGGAGAGGAAGACCCAAGTGAGATGTCAAAGCCACCCACTATTTTGACTTGTCCTGAGGCAAGACCCTGGGTTGCTGTTTGTTTTAGACTAGAATGACCCAGACCTATCCCTTTTTCTGTCAAGGGGTACGCCTTGGCACCTGTCCTGAGTTCCATTACACTCAAGACTACATGAACCCAGAGGGACTTCTCAGGGAAGCAAGCACCTCAAAATGTTGGTCAGTTGTCATGTGAGGAGGACATGGACAAAATGGTGAGGCTGGAGTGAGGTGGGGGTCAAGGATGAGCGTGGTGACAAAGAGAAAAGACATTGTTCTGTGGTGAGCAGAGAAAATGTGAGGATACCAAAGGGCCTTCATCAGCCCTCTAACCTAAAGTTACAGCAGCTGAACTTTCCTGGGTTTCTTTTTTAAAGTCCAAAGTGGCTCTGGGCATAGGTACAGGAATGGAGATAACCAAGTTTGTGTAGGGAGGCACAGGAGCCTGCAGGGCTACCACATGACTCTCTGGCCACCCTCTTTCTCAACATAATTTAGCAACCCAGCAGCAGCCCTTGATAGACTCAGTTGCATCTCAACAAAAGAAATTAGTAAAAGGGATGATTCTAGGGATGAGCTCACATTTTGTTTGTTTGGTTTGATTTTGTCACCAGTTCTCACTGTGTAGCTCTGGCTGGCCTGGATCTCCTAGAGAACCACCTGCCTTTGTCTCCCAGGGGCTGGAATTGAAAGCATGAGCTATCACACCTGCTGAGAATCTCATTTTTTGTACTAGGTTTTATACTGAGGGCCCTGTGTTCCTTGGTCTTGCCTTTAGTAGACATACATATGCCTCCAATGAGATCTTCTCATACCTTGAATTGATGAGAAGAGGAAAGTTAGACCACTATAGGAGACTTATTCCTCGTTTTATGATTCCATGTTTGAGTAGGACTCTTCCACCCAAGTAGAACTGAGCAGTTGGACTTTGTTCCTGTGTGGTCATTTGCCCACAGCATTGTTAGAGCTGGAATGGCCTGATGTCCCTCTTAGACCATTTGTCCATTGTTCTTGATACTATCTCTGCCACCATAGAAAGGCTCCTGTCTCATTTCAACCCATCTGGTCAGATCAGACATTGTAACATTCACTATTAAGGGTTAGCTCTATATACTGCCCAGTATCCAACTCTGGCTTCTAGTACCCAGTCAATGTATTTAGAACATGTCTGTTCATCTTCTGTGTTGTGGATGTTAGTAGAAAAGGCTTAAGATGGTCTTCAGAATGCACTCACCAGAAGGGAAACAACTATCACTAGCCAGTGCAGGCTGGGTCACTCTAAGCATGAAGGTAGAGCTTTGGTCAGTACCAATCTGGGATAGAAATTTGGCTTGATCCTGCTACAGAGACCCTAGGAAATGATACAGGGACAACAAACAAACCTATGGACACCTGCCCCATGTAGAGACCCAAGTGAGGGCACACGGTTGTACTTAGAGCTTCACTGATACAAGGTAGGCAGCCATCTTGTCTCCTGGAGGAAGTGGTTCTGGTGGATAGTCAAGACCTTCAAATAGTACCTATTATTTTAGGTTTCTGTCCCAAGCACTTTAAAATAGTCTCCCAAAGGATTCAGTAAAATAAAAGACTGGCTCAGTGACAGACATCCACAGGAACTTGCTTGAGAGCAGTATGCTTCCTGTTGAGTTTACTTTTTTTTTCTGGAATTGGAGCTTGTGCCTCTACAGACTTCCACAATATATTACTGTTCTTGAGTTGAAAATTACCAATTCACAATACAGAAAAGCTTACAGAAGACAATGAGATGACCCTGACTTCCCTTGGCTGAAAGATCCTGCCTCCTTCTGGTGCAGGTTGCTACAGGCACTGGAATGCAGATGGGAGCGCTAGCTGTGTCCGGTGCTGGAATGAGACCCTCCCAACATACAATGGCTCCGAGTGCAGAATTCGTATGTCTTCTCCAAGCTATCTGCCCCAGTTCCCCCAGACTTCACAGGGGTCCTCCTGTCCAATTTGGGGAGAAACCAAGGGAACTACTGTACTTGTCTTCTTCAACCGCAAAGACAGTACTCACCTTGCCCAGGAGTATTGTTTATCAGTGAGCAGCTCCTTCCATCCCTTCCTGAGTGTTCTGTTTACTGAGGATAGCTGTGGGTGTGAACTGCTCCTTGCTTTCTCATCTCTAAGACATCCCTTTAGGACTATATATAGAGGCCTCAGTAGGGTCGCAGGCATGGCCAAGGCCTCCCCTCAGTTCTGCTTTCCCACAGTCACTGGACGGGGCATGCAGTTTCCCATGAACAGAAGCACAGGGACACCTGGACAGCCACATATTGGTAAGTCTCTTAGTTGATAAGTCCAGAACTGTAGCCCTATCTGCAACCTGGGGCTGGAGCTGGGGTACATCATTAGAGTTAGTACTGGTACCAGTGCCAGTCCTGAAGTCAAGTATTTTCTATAATGAACTCTGGTTAAGGAAGAGGTTCAGCATCCTCTGGGGCTGAGGTCATTTAGCTTGAGTATGGGCATGTGTTGGTATGCCATCGGAGAAAGATACTTCATGGTTTCCAAAGAGCTTCAGTTATTTAATAGCAGCCCTCAGGGCTGCCCAACTTGCTCTTGTAGGATGCAGGCCTCAGATGAGACTACAAACACATAGGCCATACCTCCTGATCTGTTTTCAAGGAAGGGGCAGGCCCTATCACCTGATGCTTATATCCCCAGAGCCTTCAAGCTCACCTTAAATGAAGGCCTAGGGAGTAAAGGGTAGAGGGATATGTCTGGGTTAGTGTGGTCAGGCAGGAAAGAGAAGGGTCTGGGCCTGGTGCTGCTCGAGAGAATATGCCCAAGGCAGAGGAGCCTCATATGTCAGGGAGCTAGACTGAGCTCCAATAGAAGACTGCCTCTTCTGAGGTAACGGAGTCACTTTAGGGACACATCACTCTAACCTGGGCTAATCCTTCAACAGTAATGGATAATACTTCCCATAGCTGGCAGTTACATTGTTCTGTCAACTACCAACCCCCTAATATGTCTTGACCCCAAACAAATGGAGATGAGCAGAAGGCAACTGCATGTATCAGAAAGCAGGTAATGTAGAGGCTGAGGCTAGTCTAATGGAGAGAGCCCAGGATCTGATATTTCTGGAGCCTGGAATTATCTTGGACCAGGAAAGAGTGGGCAATATGACGTCCCTTGTCTTGTGGCTAGATGTGTTGGGCTCATGGTGTCTCTGACCCGTGGCTGGCACCTAGTAGGGGCTCAGGTATGTTTGGGGAATGGTGATCCCCAGGGGTTAAGCAAGGAACACTGGATACCTATTTCCCCAAACCCAGGCTCTCCTGGCAGCTGTTGGTTTGTCTGCAGGGGGTTCTCATGTGGCAGCTTCCCTCTTCCTGGGGACACTCTTCATCAGCACAGGTCTCATCCTCTCTGTGGCTGGGTTCTTCTACCTCAAGCGCTCCAGTAAGCTTCCTGAAGTTTTCTACAGGAGAGACAGAGGTACTTCCCTCTATGGCTGAATTTCTACCTGCCTAGCTTCAAAGGTACTATCCAGGGTCTGACCCACTCAGGGCCTAGGGGGTCCCCAACAAATACAGAGCAGGCACAGGTACTCCACTGTGTCCGGATACCACTGTGCTCACACTCATCAACAGTGCCTTTGGATGCTATTACAGCTGAGGATGTAAGGCTGGGCCCTGCTGCTTAGAGTTCCCCAGGTAAGAAATGTGGCTTAGCAGCTGTCCAGGCTCAGGGTGCTCAGGGCACTCAGAGCTGAGGCAGCTGCTGGGCAGCAGAGTGACACTCCATTTTCTTCCCCAGCCCCTGTCCTGCAGCCTGGTGAAACAGTAAGTAACCTATTCAACTAGGCTGAGAACCTGGGTTGTGTGTACCTGTGCCAGGCCATCCAAGTCTCACTCTGCCTTTCTCTTTTCAAGGCTGCAATGGTCCCCCTGCCACAGTCTTCAGGTACAGGCTGCAGCATGTTATGGGAGTTGGGTGGAAGGGTCTTATTGTGGGCTATCTTCAAAGCCTATTCTATGGTTTTACCCCCACATATAAAGGTCCGTCTCTGAGACCTGACCTACCTTCACACATTCTAAGTAGACTGCTCCATAAGGCAGGGAAAAGGACAAGTGTTCAGCAGGCACTACCCTTCTTTCTTACCAACCCACATGGTTTCCATGCTGTCTTCTCAGCATAGGGCCAGACTCTCTGCTTCTCCTCTAGCCATGTCCAAGTCTAGTTCTGCTTGAGAGCTGCAAGGAACAGGTCAGGTCAGTTCTTGAGCTTTTCCCTGGCAAGCCTGTCTGAGTGTTTAAAACTCAGTGTATAGAAGAGGCCGTGAACCGAGATGTTTCACAGCTACAAGCCCTGGAGCAGATTTACTTAACTTCTTTCCCATCTCATTGTCTTCCTTGTGCAGTGGTCTAGAATAGAGAACCAGTGACACTGCTTCTCTCTGTTGAAGATAAAATAGATCCTTGATGAAGTTAGACATACCTTGTTCCAAGTTCTCCAAGGCAGCCTTATCCCTGAGGACCTTACAGGTGTTGTTAGGGACCTGTAGCACTATAGTTAGTGACTATATAGCAAATACACACCCTGGCCACTGTAATAAAACCACATCTCTTGATAGTTCTTGGAGCCAAACGTTAGAAATCAAGATGTGAGGGTGAGAGAGGTGCATTTCAAGGCCTGATGGGTGGGGAATCCCTCGTGACTCTTCTAGCTCCTAGTATCTTATACCCCTTGTGGCTTGTGGCCATATCAGACATGTCTCTCTTTCTCTCTGGGAGGATACTAGTCATTGGGTTCAAAGTCTACCTGATTAATCTAGGGTGATCTCACCTTCTATCCTAATAGAATCTGCACAGACCTTTTTTCAAATAAAGGTTATGTTCATGGGCTTCAAAGCTCAGGGTGCAGTCCTATCTTTAAAGGGTGTTATCTAACTCCCTGTAGTGCAAAATGCAAGTATGATCTATGCTTTTGTCTTGAGGAATAGCTGGGCTCTAATACAGGCCCAGGGGTGTGGAGTCTTTGGCGGGGAGGGGGTCCGATAGGAAATAGCTGAGCTCATGGGAGCCTCCATTAGAAGAAACTGCCATTGGACAAATGGAGCCTGATGAGCATCACTTTGTTAGAATAAATACCATATATGGGCTTTGTGCCCTGTGGCTGTTCAATATGCTCCTGAGAGCCAGCAGTGCAGACAAAGACCTGAACTTACCTATCTCTGACTCAGCTTGTCTTTGACCCCATTTCAGTGAGGAAGCCAAGATACATCAGGCGTGAGCAGCACCCAGACAAAAATAGGGATCCTTCTGCCTTCTCCACAGTGGAGGCCCACATCAGCAACGTCTGATCTAGAGGTCAACTGAGACTTCACAGTACAGCAGTGGAGACCCAAGGCTCCCCTCCAGTGAGCGCAATACACAAAGGGCCTGGGCCTTAAGATATGCCAGAATTGACTCCCAATGACAGACATGTACAACTGCTAGGGGGATGCTGATCTCCATGCCATGAGATCTTCACTGTGTGGTTTATCAGGAGTAACCATCTGTGAGACCTGAGGACTCAAGAGCAAGTCGTGTGGGGTCTGTGCCCCTTAAGAGTAACAGCATCTATAACAGCTATAGCACAGGCCTGATCCAAATGATCAAATCTTCTGGAGCCCACCCACTGGAGCCCATGCTAGACAGGAATCTCTCCATCACCACCAAGCTAAGAAGAGTGAAACCAAGATTCCAACAGTGGAAAAAACACAACCTGGAAACTGGTACCAGAGATAGCTTGCTCTAGTGTCAGCCTGCTAATTTAGCTGCTGACCTCTCAAAGCATATATTTCTCAGAGTTGCAGAATTGAGTGTCCTAGGTTTTCTGATTCCAGAAGCCAGCAGAACCTTGTCTCCCAGGGACAGACTCCCATCCAGCTACCTTTCAGGCTGGGCACTCAAAGTAAAATGTTTATCCACGGAGCCTCCATCTCTGAACACTTCAGGTCACTTGTCCCATTGGGCTTGTGAGATCATGCTGGTCAGCAGTCCTGTCTTTGCTCTTCCAAGACTCCAGAAGCTATGTCTGTGAGTTGCTAGTGTGGTTGGTGGCATTGGCCATGTGCTTCTGTAGAAGTACCCTGATTACCAGTGCCACCCTTCGTGTATGGTCCAAAGGTGTCTAGCATCTTTTTCAACATTGGGCACACATCTGATGTTACTCACAGTGTTATGAGCTTGCTTTCCCAGACTTGAACCAGGTAGCAGCAGCAATTCAGAGTTGGACCAAATTAGACTAGATCTTCTCACCTCTAGCTTTATTTTCCCAAGGGTCATCTATTCAGTATGTGGGGGCTGATTACCCCCTTGCTGTGTTCAGGGGACAAGGAGTTAGGGAGGGGAAGAAGAACCCCTTAGCAGGATCCAGAACCTGCAGTTGCCTGGTGGGACTGGCAGTACAACACAACCTATCCCCTCATGTTTCCTTGTCCAGTACCTGTTCCACATGTCGCCCCTTGCATTTCAGGATACTGTCTTGCATGAAGAGATGACCCAGCTCCTCAGGACTTGAGGTAGAGGGTGCCAATCAAGCATGGCATGGTTCTTCAGATAAGACTACATGCATCACTAGGCTTTGAGGGGGCTACTGACAGTTTATGGATCTAACTCACCCTTGGGGAAAGCAGAACTAAGTCCATCTTACTGGTCCTACTCAAAGTCCCTGTGTAGATGTGTAGATGTTTGCTGACTTGAGGTAGAACTGGATAGAGTGCCAAATGAGCGCATAGGGATTCTAGAAGTCCTTCCAGGTAATTTGAATGAGAATGCCTACCTGGTGCCCCCTAGGCTTATATACTTGAATGCTTAGTCATCAGTGAATGGCACTACTTGAGAGGGATTAGGAGGTGGGTGGCCTTGTTGGAGGAAGTGTATCTCTGGAGGTGGGCATTGGGATCTTAAAACTCAAGCCAGACCCAGTGGCTTTCTTTTCCTGCTGCCTGTGGATTTGGGTGTAGAACTCTCAGCTCCTCCAGCACCATGTCTACCTATGTGCTACCATGCTTCCTGCCATTCTGATGATGGACTAAACTCTAAAACAATAAACAAGCCCCAATTAAATACTTTCTTTTTTAAGAGTTGTTGAGGTCATGATGTCTCTTCAAAGCAATAGAACACTTACTAAGACACTGCCCTTGCTTTGTAATGTCTATAGATCTCCCTATATACTGGCTAAAGGGCTGTGACCAGAGACATCTGTTGAAACCTCAAATGAGTTTCTTGCCTGTGGCTTCCAAAGAACATCCCTCTGCCCTTGGCCATATTTCAGAAAAGTTCTGGGGAGTAAGAACCTGTCAGACTAAGATGTAGGTTTCCAGGCCCAGATCCTTTGTGCTGAGATCAATGACCTTGCCCTGGGGACAAGTAATATAAGCTACAGGATGGAATCTGACCCAGTATCCTTTTGTTCAGCAGCTTGACACTCTAGGGCCTACAGCAGCATTAGATGCTCTAACCCCATAAAACACTCTTAAGGTTTAGGGTTCCCCAGGATGATTTCTAATGAAAAGTGGAAAGGGACATTGACAGCAAAAAGGGCAGGCAGCATGATAAAGTGTCTGCCAGTCTGGCTCCCTGGGGGTTGGGGGGTCACAGATGATTCCTCTCTCAGCTCATCCTGAATAGCATGTGCTCAGACACTCCAGAGTGGAAACCCCAGATTATTACAGCCACCTCCATGTGTTACCCATCCCCTACCCCTCTGCTTTCTGGTTCTCACACCTTCATTCCTTTGTGCACCCACTGGTTTTTATTAGGCAGCACTGGAAGTGTTCTAAAGCCAGCCCATTAAGGATGGTGGGACAAAATATGATCAACAACAGCATCAGGAGGTGGGCCAGACCAGGGACCATAAGAGTGATAGGACAGGGGGTTGGGACTGCTTAGTCACGAGCACAGGAAGAACTGACACAGAACAAACCCATCAGGTAGTCAGTCCTACCTGAGGCTTTCATATAGGTCTGGAGACCTTGTCCTCACTGCTGGGTGCAGAAGGATACCTTTGGTTAGGCCACCTTATGTTCAGACAGCATGAGACCAGGTATCCCCCAAAACATCCAACCCCCCAAAACGGGGCAAAATACTGGGTGTAGTGGCTCATATCTAATATTTTAATCTTGGCACTAGGAGGCAGAGATAGGCAGATCTCTGAGTTTGAGGCCAGCCTGGTCTACAGAGTGAGTTCCAAGACAGCCAGAGCTATTACATGGAGAAACTCTCTCAAAGGGCAGGGGGTGGGGAGGGCGGCAAAATATCAAATCCAGGGGCACCTCCTACCCCAAAGTCTACCTGTTCATCCCAGCACTTATGGTGAGAAACTAGTTTCTATTCAGCTAGCAGCTGATGCCTTAGGAGAAATTCTGGCCATAGGGCAACCAGTACCAAATAAGAATGTGCATCCAACCTTTCATGTCCATTGTTTGGGGAATAGCAGAATGGTCAGAGATGACCAGCACCAGGTAGGCAGAGATAGATGAGTGATGGGTCTTAGACTGAAACCTAAGAAAAGTCCTAGTCCTAAAAGACCTTATTTACTTACCATACCTTATCTCCCAACAGTGCACCACCATAGACTTGTAGCCAGGTCCATAGCCTTGGTGGAGAGAACTCTAGTTAGGGTAAGTGTGGGGTTATTACTGAGAGGGTATGGCCACTTTGATACAAGGATAGAGGCTCACAGTCGAGAGCCCTTAGGGCTGTAGGGCCAATAGTGAGGTGATAAGAAATAAAGTTGACCTTGTGGGCACATGCTAACACAAATGCATACATGTGCTCAGTGGTAGTACTATGTTGATGTGCACATCCTCACATTCACTTGCTTGGCAATTTCATTTTGCTGCTACTTAGGATAGAGTCAAGATGGACACCACTTACTGCCCTAGACAATGTAGTCTGGGCTCTTCCTGTACTGGTCTGTGCTCCTCCAATTCCTGGTCCCTCTGCCAGCTGGGAGTTGACTCCCCTTGAGGTCAGACCTGGAAGAAGGCCAGGGCTGTGAGGCCTGATAGATTCCTAAGGCCTCACAGCACATTTGCCTCAGGATATTGACTGCTCACTGGGTAGCCTTGGTGATCTCAGAGCTTGAATATTCCCAGGAGCTCTCTGAAGATTGTTCCTAGAACATCTGGGACTCCAGCTTCCTAAAGGCAGCATGTGACACAGACTCATACTCTACACAGATGACTTGGGCTGGGCCTTCAGCAGCGTTCTCTCCTCAGCACCCTCATACCCTCTACAATCCTAGATTACCCCCCCCCCCCTTCCCGAGGACTCCATCTCCTTCAATTCTTTACTTCTCTGGGCCCCATTTTTGGTTCTTAGTACTCATGGAATTAGGTTCCTAGTACTTGTGGAATTAGGCAGGGGACCCTCTATCCTTCCAGAGCTCAGGCCTCCTCTTCTGATAGGACATTGTCCACAGGTTCCCATGATCACCCATATCTTAGCTTCATTGAAAGTTGGCCTTGAGCATAAGGATATCTAGAAGCAAAATTGTGGCAGTTTCCAGAGATCTGGACCATTGGGTGGTCATTGGGTACCTGCAGGTAGTTGAGTACCTAAGGCCATCCACCTAAGATGAGGTCCTCCTAGCAACATACCCTCCCCACAGGCCTTTGTGTGAGCTCCCATCTCAGAACTCTACAATTCACTGTGCCAGAAAACAACTAAACATCAGGGGTAGGGAAGAACCTGGACTGACCAAAGTAGGTGGGGAAAAATCCACTGGGGTTATTGAGTCTGGTCAATAAGGATATCTCAGCCCAATGGGCATGAGGTAGACCAGGGGCTGTTTGTGTTACTGCCAACACTCCCAGTCCAGTCCATTCCAGTGTGATACTCCTTGCCCCAACCTTAGATATTACCAGCCCTTTAGACCAACATTTTCTTCTGTGTTACCTGGTCAAAGCTTCTTGAGACCCCATCTTTCCAAGCACAGATGAAGACTAGAGGCTTTCTTCCTGAGGTATAAAATAAATGGTACCCAAGCAGGTACCCACAATCTATTGTGACTGGGTCCCTAATATTAACTGACTCCAACATCTAGGCTGTTTCCCAGGCCTGCCTAGCTCTGACCTTGTACCCCTGCTTCCTGGACTTCAGAACAAGGAGTCCCCCAAAGGCAGCAGGATGCTGAAGCAGCAGCAGATGGGAACCTTGCATGAAACAACTGTGAGAATATAGGTGAGATGGAAGAAGAAGGAACAGGACATTGGTGGGCACAGAGATGGGGCAGAAAGGAGCAAATGGTTGTATCTTAAAGTGGGCTAGACTCAGTGAAGAGACCCTGAGCATGCTTTGGGATCAGGTGGGCATACTTACTTTCCAGAGAAGAGGGGTTTGAGTACCTGAGCATCTATGCTTAGTCTGGAATCCTAAGACAAGAGGCCTGGCTCTAACCCTTCCTCTGGCTCTCCACCCAATTCTGAGTCTGCCAGGGAAGAGAACAGCCAATTGCATCAGTTCAGAGCCACACCCCCCAGCCACCATGTTCTGGAGGGTATAAATAAACCTGCTTCAAACCTCATGGCCTGAGAATTCACACCTGTCTCAGGCAGCCACCTCCTGGATGAACACAGGCATCATACCTCCACTCCCACATACACACAGAAGAGGTGTGGTGGCCAGACCAGTGCCACCGGAAGGCTGTCAGCTGCTAGCCTTTAGAGGAACACCTGCCAGGTAGAGCAGAGGCTGAGACGGACCTGAAAGAGGGGAAACCAGCTCTAGCCAAGAGCTGGTCAATCTAGAGACACAGAGCTTTGCTGTGACCAGTGAAGAGGATCATGCCCAGGAACTGCTGACCCCAAGCTACCAGGTAAGGCCCGCTCAGCCCGTCCTGACCTTTCACCTATACCATCTCAGGGTGAGGCCCCTTCATGGAAGATGAGGCCTGGTGCCAAGGAACCAGTCCTGTGAGCAGCACAGGTCAGTGGAGGATAGATCCAAGGCACTGTTAGACCTTGCCAAGACCACGGCTGCTTCCAGGAAGTGGTGACATCTCATGCAAGAAGGTTGGGGCTCTCGTGATGTCACAGTGATGTCAGATGATTCATAGACCCAGTGATGGTTCAGCAATCTCTAAGCCATTCTACTCACTCACTCACTCACTCACTCACCTACCTACTTGGGGCTGACAAGTGAGGCAGAGAGATGGGTCATCTCTGCTGTAGCTGCTGGGCTCCATGGGTTATAAGGTTCAGGCTTTTGTGATGAATATTCTAATCTGGTCAGAATGCCTATGGCTCCTGAGGTGTAGTCCTAGCTGGGGTGGGGGTGGGGGTGGGGGTAGGGGATGGTAGTGGTGTTGTAAGCAAACAGTACTAAGTGGTCAGTGTGTTTCTAGGATTCCTCTCAGAGAAGTGAGGTGAGCTGCCAAAAAAAGAAGGCCTGATCTTGTACATCCCACCTTCTCCTTGACAGGCAGTGGAGTGACTAATACTGGCACAACAGGGCAGAGGTGTCCTCTGGGCACTGGTTATGGAACATTTTTAATCCCAGGCCTCTGGCACTTGTTCTTATCCCTACTAAACAAGCTGGCCCCAGATTCCAGGCTGCAGCTGTTCAAAAGCTTTTTGGGCCCCTACTAAGGCCCACCCTGTCTCTTGGAGCTCTATGGGTCCAGCTGCCCTCCCAGAGACCCCAGAATCCTTAAACAGCTGTCAGCAACTCAGTTGTATGTTATACAAATCAGGGACCCATACCATGACCAAGTTCAAACTCCTTCCACCTGATCCAGAGCCACAGATAGCTCATGAGCCTGTCAGGACCCAGCTTTCAATTGGCTTGTCCAGAAAGAACCTAGTTAAGTCACTCCACCTTGGAGCCGTCTTCTCCAAATGGAGGAGCTGTTATGATTATTCTATGGCATGAGTTCACCCTTACAGAGCATAGATAAAAATAGTAGCTGTAGTGGGCCACTCTCGTTATTAGCATGGGGAAGGATGGGCAACAGGTGTCCAGCCATCAGTGTTGACAACCTTTAGCACATGGCCTCTATTCTTGAAATCTGTCTGGGCTGTCCGTGCCTGGGGTACTCTTGACCTCATAATGAATGGAAGAGGATAGGTTACAGTTTGGACATGGGTGGAATTTTGGAGGTACCTACAGGTAGTGTTCTTCATTGCAATCTTTGGGTTTGATGCTGGGTAAGAAAAGAGGGGGTGTGACAAACTGGCTTTTCAGGAAAAGGGCAGTTCATAATGTCCTGTCTCTGTTCTACAGTTCAGAATCATGTCGTCAGGCCAGCGGCTATGGCGTACAGCTCTGCCACCCTACCGCCAGAACAGCTCCACAGCCTCAGTGCCCAGGTCCCCTGGCTCAAGTGGCAGCCCCAAGTGCCCCAGTACTCCTGACTCAGGTGGCAGCCTCAAGTCCCCCAGTACTCCTGGCTCAGTGAAGGTGGCCTCTCCATTGGAGTGTTCCATCTGCTTCTCAGGCTATGACAATATCTTCAAGACACCCAAAGAGCTTTCCTGTGCTCATGTCTTCTGTCTTGAGTGCTTGGCTAGGCTGGCAGCTGCTCAGCCTGCAGGCCGTCCTGGCAGAGAAGCTGTGCCCTGCCCATTCTGCCGACAGCCCACAACTGTGCCTGCTGCTGGGGCTCCTGCACTGCGCACCAGTCGTCAACTACAGGCAAAGATGCCAGCGCACCTACAGAGAGAGGAGCCTGTGTGGCTTGAGGGCACCAAACTGTGTTGCCGCCCCTTGCCCACCACTTCTGGCCAAGAGGCCAGTGACTTTGTGTGTGTGGATGTAGGCCTGAGCAAACCATCTGAGCCCACCCTACCTGCACCTGTCCAAGACCCTGCACCCAACCCAGGTCGTCTGGCCCGCTGTTGGGCACGCTTTGGGGACTGGCGTCGTGTAGCACTGGTTTCTGTGCTGTTGCTGGTGCTATTTTGTGTGATACTCTGGCCTGTGCAGTGTGCACTCAAAACTGGAAATCTGCGTTGCATTAACCGGCCACCTGCAGCCACTGTCACCACCACTGTTACCACCGATGCCCTCTCCCTTGAGCTCTTAGCCAACAGCTAGGGTTACCACTTGGGCTAGGCCAGCTATTCCAACAGCTCTATGGATGGGTCTCTGACCCACTGAGATCAAGAATACAGCAACTTTTGAAGTTAGTTGGTCCCCCAGAATCCCATATAGGACACATGTGTCCTTTACTCTCCAGGACTAAGTGCCAGTGAGGAGCCAATGAGGACAAAAGAGTCCTCAAAGCCTCTAAGAACTACAGGCTTCTAAACGCTCCAGAAATTGCCCTGGGACCCTGTCATACAAATGGGGAAAGGAATCCAGGGATTTCTGGTCAGGTGCCTGGTCTTCCTGAACACATTGAACTGCCAAAACAGGAGTTTGCCATCCTTTCTTTCTTAAGACACTACTGGGGATGCTGAGCATCTGGTTCTCTAAGAGTGAAAATGAAAAGGAAAGACACCTTCTGCCCCTGCCATAGCACCACAGCGGGAACTTGCCAGCTGTCCCTGGCCATTATGAATGTTACATTTTAAAATAAATTATTTTGTATAAATATTGTTTCTCTGTGTACACCACCTCTGTCCTCCACCATTCAATTTGTCCCATTAGAAAATCTCCCACCCTACATCCCCACAACTCAGCCTCCACTCAGGTAAACTAACTGGATCACAGCGGGAAGGGGAGGGGGAGAGAAACCAACAATCATTGTTTTAAGTGTTCCTGTTAGAGAAAAGAACAAGCATTTAAACAAAGAAGCATGCAAATTTTAAGTTTTGGGTGAGCTGTGTTTGTTCCAAGCTGTCAGCAACAAGATTCCACCCATTATTTTTTCTTTGACAGGCTCTTCCCACCCAGGTGGAGGGGGGAGGAGCCTGCTTTGCTGCACCCTGCTGCCAGCCATTTGCTCCAGCTGCAAGTCCTATTTTCCCAGACCCAGGCTTTACCTTCCCCTTCCTGCCTGACTCTCGGATGCCCTGAGGGGAAATGTGGACCAGGGACCCCAACTCCCAACAACAGCTGCGCCTGGGTACTCAGGAGACAGGGAACCACAGCAATCATCCCAGACTGCTGTTTCCCACTGGGAAAATGCAGACTGAGGATCCCCATTACCAACTGAATTTTGCCTCTCCTGAGAGGCTTGCTGGGAGCACTCTAGACACCCCAGTGGCGAGGCAGGATGAAGACTGACACAGGTTCTGCCACTAGTCCTAGGAATCATGTAACTACCAGGTGAGTATGGCTAGGAAAACGCAGGCCACTTCCAGCTTGGCTAAGTTTCAGTGTCCTCATCTCTGACCACAGGCCCACAGATACTTCTGTTCTAACTAGCTGTGCCTTTGGTTAGGGCAGGGAGGAGGTTTAGGGAGGTATTAGCTGAGTCCAGTTTTGGGGATTCCCCCATACCCCTGCCCCAATGCCAGTAGACACTAAACTGAGTTCACTGTAGGTACCACAAAGCCACAGACCAGCTGTGATGGGGAAGGGTTCTATGTCCCATGAGCTAGTGACTTTGCACTCTGTCACATAGTGATGCATATATGTGGAGACACACCCATGTCACTGGCAGGACCAGTCATGTGAGAATGCCTGTATGGTCACATGAGCATATCATATATGCCTTCATTCCAAAAGCCTTATCCATTGTAACCAAGACAATGATGAATCATCCATGACAAGGACCAGCTCCTAGACCACCTTGAAGTGGTTAAGGTTAAAGCAGGGCACAAGGAAGCTGGGCTAAAGTACAAGTCAAGTCAATCTCAGACTGTCCTTAACCTTGTTGCTAAGATCACACCACAGGACCATACAAAGTGTCTGGAACTGTGACACACACAGGTTCACATGTAATCCCTTGTCGAAATCCTACAACCACATTTCAACTGGGAACCAGGACAGGACACTGGGATCTCCAAATGCCCTTTCCATTGCCTAGCTAAAATGAGGAGCAGATTATTGGATGTCTTCCACAGTTCCAGTCATGGTCAGTCAATAAAGCAGTCCTTCAAGAAAACACACAGGGAGAGGCTCTGGTGCACCTGGGGCACTCCAGGGTTCTGCTGCCTGTAGTTCCAGGTTCTTCTAGTACCCAGTCCTGACCCTGTTGAGACGCCCCAGACCCCCAAGATACACTGCTCAGGTTAGGAGCTGTGGCTGAGCCTGGAAGGGGCTCAGTGCCAGTCACCTTTGCATGCTGGTGCTTCCCCACCAACCTGTTCCCACAGTTGCAGCTTCTGGCTTTGGATAACTATTGCAGCGTCAAGATGCACGCCTTCCTGCACCAGCCTCAAACTGACAGTGGCTGGCTCCCACACTGCTGGTAGTGGAGGCACCAACTAGATCTTTATTCTGGATGTTGATGTGTCAATCCAACCCTGGGAGGCAAGGTGAGCTAGGTGAACATGGCCTAAGCAGTGAGATTTGTATCAGTGGTGCCCAAAAGAAGTGCAAGAGGGACAGGGTACAGGAGTTGGGTTGAGGAGGAGGCAGAACCCAGATAGGAAGGTGGCATTTTGGGGAGGGACCAACGGGCAAAGGTGAATCTGAAGGTAGATTCGTAGGGTGGAAGAGTAAAGAGGCCTTTGATTAGTGGGAGGCACATTATGGGGCTCACGTGTCTGTGGATGCAGTCAACCAGAACATTAATCTCGACAATGGTGTTGGTATGCCTGATACCTGCCCCTAAGCGGGCCACTATTGGCTAGTTGAGCCTACATGGATCCAGTGGCCCATCTCACGGCCACATCTGAGATACACTATATATCTGACTCTGGCTCACTGCTCTGAACCAGGTACACCTCCTCCAGGAAACTTAAAGATGTCAGTGGGCTCCAGCTGGACTTCTCCAGCCATACTACTACCAGTGCTTCACAGTACCAGAGAAAGCAGTGAGTTAAAGACCCCAGCTCGGTTGTGGAGTTTACAGATGAGAAACACATATGTTACTGAGACTCTCGTGGGCAGACACAGAGATGAGCCAGAAGTGATTGTGTGATGGTACTGATGATAGACCAGAGTTAAAACAGGAGAGGCAAGGAAATACTTGGGGGTGGGACAGAGACCCCAAGTGTCTTAGGTGACCAGGAAAAGGGAGGGCAAGATTGATATCTGAGTTCTGTTTGGGAAAAGCCACCCTTAGGGACTTCTGAGGAATTACAGTTTCCCCTGCTTCCACTTACAGTTGCAGATAGAAAGAATCTGTGCCTGAAAGAAATAGGTACCACTAAATACAAAATGGATACCAAAGCTGTTTGGGGTCAGGAAGGGCATAAGTGGGAATACAGGTGAAGCTGTCTGGGGCCATGGGTCAGAGGCCTGGGTCTGAAGTTGACAACATGGTGTCTTATTTCTGTGATCAAACACCATGACCAAAAGCAACTTGGGGAGAAAAGGGTTTGTTTCAGTTTACAGTTTATGGTGCTGTAATTATGAAGGGAAGTCAAGGCAGGAACCTGGTGGTAAGAACAGAAGCACAGACCATGGAGGAATGCTGCTCACAGGCTTGCTCCCCATGGCTTGCTCAGCCTGCTTTCTTATGTCACTCAAGACCACGGGTCCAGGAGCAGCACCATTTACAGTCCTCCCGCATCAATTATCAGGAAAATTCTACCTCAGCCTTACCTACTACTACATCTGGTGGAGAGCTGTAAGGTAAATGGGCTCTCTACTGCCAGAATACCTTTCTCCTCAGAGCTGTAACACTTAAAGGAACATTTTCTCAATTGAGATTCCCTCTTCCCGAATGACTGTAGCTTGTGGCAATTTGCCCCTCCCTCCTCCCTGTGCACGTGCGCATACACACACACACACACACAAAGTAGCCAGCACATATGGCTTCTGTGAACTGAGAAGAGCTAGGCATACTGGTGCTAAATATGTTAAGGGACACGGGAGTCAACAGATTTAGTAGGGTTGGACTAAGCTTAGGGCTTCCTCACTCTCAGCATAGACTTGGGGGACTCTGACCATGCTGACCTATAACTGTTACCCACCAGGGTCAACTGGATGATGTTATACCTCAGTTCCTTCTGAGCCCTGGGTCTGGTGCTGAGCCATGTTGCACAGCCACTTTCAACTGCAAGTTGCAATTCTGGCCATTATTGGAAGCACTTGTCCTAGGGGACAGTGCTTTACATCAGCTTGCCCATACGTTCTACAGAGCAACACACATACAGATGCAGTCACCCATTTCTAGGCACATTCCTTTATCCCAGTGTTCCACAGCTGTCTCCAGCTGTCTCTAGAAACAAGGATTAAGGGAGCTGGCATTCTTGCTGCCATAGTGTCTGAACAGATGGAGACTTCAGCATGGCTCCATTGATACCTCGCCTCCTCTTATCCAACATCCTTGGGCCCCTGTCCCAACCCCAGAGGATAAGAGTACAATGTGGACTCTTGTGGAACCATCTCCAATTTTCCTCAGAAGGCCCATGTGGCCTGCCCACTAGGGTCCTAGGCCGATGGAGCTCCTTCATACCTCATGGCCTTAAGAGGCTAGCAGAGAGACTGTGCAAGCCAGGAAGAGCCTGAACAACACCCTCCACAGGGACAGGAAAAATAAAAATTGTTAATTCCTGAGGTGAAACTAGAGTCTTGTGTCTCCTGTGTCTGTCATTGCTCTCCTTTCCAGGCCCCTGTGCTACTCGCTACTGCAACGGCCAAGACCAGTGGTACTTATGAATAAGAACTGGAAAGAAGCTGTGTCTACAAAGACTGATTGACTGATTAAAATTGCAATCTTGTGAAGAAATTGGAATGTTGTAGGCCTACAAACGAATTGGTTTATCTTGAGTTACTCGTAGTCCTCTGGAACAGACTTTCCTTGCCCACTTCTTTTTGGGAACTAAAAACTTTTGACTAATAGATAAAAACTTCTTAGAATCTATTAGCTTAACAAACCACTAGCTTCCACCAACCCAAAAGCTCAGATATTCTCTTGGGCCTATTGAAAAGCTTCTCCCATCTTACTTATGTTAACTGCTTCTCTGATGTACAGACGTTGCAATCTCCTAGGGTGGAGGGTGTGGACAACCCTAGAAGCAAGAAGCAGTCCTTCTTAAATCAAACAATCCTTGTTTTCCACATTGGCCCAAGATGACCTGAGCTAAACTGAGTGATCAAGGGAAAAGAGCATCTCCATATATTACCAGGGTACACACACACACATGCACACACAAACACACACTTGAAATGGGTAACGACTTGAGAACATGGGGAATTCAAAGTGTTTGGAAATACTATGTCTCTTTGCTTTTTAAGAAAATTAAACCTGTGTCCTTTGGATGAGCAGCCAGTGCTCTTAACCACTGAGCCATCACTCCAGGCCCCATGTCTCTACTTAATCATATGTTTTTGTTTTTAGAGACAGAGTGTCTCTATGTAGTCCTGGATGTCTTAGACCAAGCCGAATCCATGGAAATCTTGCTGCCTCCCAAATGCTGGAACTAAAGTTGTATGCTGTCATACCCAGTTTCTTAATC